AATTTAACGTGACATGTTAAAACGTATTTTAGTTAATATAAAATTATGTATTTTAATGTGATAATGATGTAAAACAAAAATTGAAAAAACAAATGACATATCATAAATTAAATAAATAACTATAAATGTAAATATTAAAAATATTTTTTCATACTATATAATATATAATTAAGTCAAAAAATATTCAAAATTGGGCTTATTTCAAATGTATTGACGCGACGATTATAATGGTGTAACTTGTTAAAATTAAAACGTATTTTTAAACATATTTTAATTGATATACGATTATGTATGTTAATTTGATCAGGGTATAAAATGAAAAATTTAAAAGGAAAGAACGTAAAGTAAATTAATTAACTAATTATAGGGGTATAAAATGAAAAACTTAACCGAACACAAACAATAAACGAACGAAAATCTTTGTGTTCGTGTTCGTTCGTTTAGAAATCAGGTGTGTTCGTGTTCGTTTATGTTCGTTTGTTAACTAGAGAATATGAAGTATAATTTAAAAATTAACAAGTATATTAAAAAATGAGTATGTAAGATGAACAAGATCAATAAAGAGTATGAAAATGTTTCATGCAAGGTTAATTTAGTTGTTAAATCTAATTTTAGTTAATATAAAATTATGTATTTTAATGTGATAATGGTGTAAAAATAAATGATGTATCATAAATTAAATAAAGAACTATAAAAGTAAAAATCATAAATATTAAAAGTATTTTTTTCACAGTATATATAATATATAATAATATAATTAAGTCAAAAACTATTTAATATTGGACTCATTTCGAAGGTATTAACGAGACGATCATAATGGTGTAACTTGTTAAAATAAAAATGTATTTCTTAAACATGTTTTAATTAATATACGATTATGTATGTTAATTTAATAAATATGTAAAATGAAAAATTTAAAAGTAAAGGACGTAAAGTAAATTAATTAACTAATTATAAGGATATAAAGTGTAAATTTAAAATTATTATTTTAAAAAAATTCGTTGAATGTTAGAGAGGGTGGGTATGTGAGAGAGTGAGTTTGTTAGAGAAAGGGGGTGAAAAAGTGACCTGAGGGGGTATGAATATCAACTTTTTTTTTTTTTTTAATAAATTGATATAAGATGTGATTTTATGATGAAACTTTTCTCGCAAACTTCATAACTGATATATTGATTTGTTTTTAATCTATATATATATATATAGGGTATATTTCTTTTACAACCTTGTGCATTTGTACAACCTTTGCAACCCAATTAATTGAGATATTTATAGAAATGATTGGAGTTCATTTAT